CACACACACACACACACCAGACACACACCACACACACACATAAAGTAGTATCATGAATATGTGCTCACACTGCACAAGTGAAGGCCACGCAGGGTGAAATTTACCCCTCCCCCCATATCCCCTCTACCCCGGTACATGAAACACACACACACACACACACACACACACACACACACACACTCACACACACGCGCGCACACAACAAAAATTTACCACGTATATATCCCCACACTGTACAAGAGAAATTCAAGCGAGGTAAAAGCGACAGTTGCCCCCCCCCCCCCGTCCCTTTCCCGAGAATAAAAACACGCCGACATAAAAATACACACACACGGTATGAGTTTACAAATTATCCAATAGGTGCTCACACAGCACAAGTGATGGCTGCAGGATGCCCCCCCCCCCAAAAAAAACAAAAAAAAACAACAACAACAACAAAACCCAACCCAAACAAAAACAACAACGAAAAACACACACACACGCACATGCACCCTTCAAGCCCTCCCACACTCAACTTCTTTCCCCTCCCCCAATTACCTGAATGTGGAAATTGTGCTGAGGAAAGATGTCAAACGTCGTCATGAAAACACAAATACGAGGCAGTGTTTCAAGATATGTCATAAGTTTTATAAATCATCACCATCACCATCAAGTGCCAGAACTGCAAAAGACATCGGCCATCCAGGCTCGCCATTGATTTTTTTTGCTCGGATGCTCTCCAAAAGCTATTATCCTGGTCTTTCTCAATCATCCATCTGTTCAGGCTGTCCAAGTAAGTTGCTCTGGACTAACTTTGTCTCACTTCCCTTTCATTCTACCAAGGCTTTCGTGTCGATTTAAGTGTCTCAGAAACAGCACATGTCTCTTCTTAATTGTCATTACAAGGGAGCTGTCTACGTAGGCTTTATTAAGTACTACCTTATTTGATTTCTTTTCCATCCAAGAAATTCCCAGCAGTCTCCTAGGAAACCACATTTGTGTTGCTTTTATTTGTGAATAGACTTGTATTATAAAATCCTAGACCATCCACTCTGGCGTATTTCTGGTTCACTGTGGAGGGCGCCATTTGACTTCATTTGAGCCAAACGAAGGGCAAATGGGAGAAGGTACCACAAACCAGACTGGTGTCTTGCCCTTCATTTGGCACAGCCCGTGGTGCGCATGCTTCGCATCGAGGTTTGTATAGAGTGAAGAGCAGCGACAATGATAACGTGCGCTCTACAGTCTACAAATCTATGGTTGTTGTTAAAAGTTTCACAGCAAACACACACTCTCTCTCTCTCTCTCTCTCTCTCTCTCTCTCTCT